CCAGACAGCCAATGCTACATAGTGAAATTTTTATTGAGATCACATGTAATGGAAGGAAAAATTTGGAGGTATTGCCATCTCTATAATACAGTTGTCTCAACCAAGAATATTGTCTACTTTCTAATTGTTCATATATTCTGGGTTTGTTTGTTTATTTATTTATTTATTTAGTTAGTTTTTTGAGACAGGGTTTCTCTGTAGGTTTGGAGCCTGTTGTCCTGGAACTCGCTCTGTAGACCAGGCTGGCCTTGGACTCACAGAGATCTGTGTGCCACTGCCTCTCAAGTGCTGAGACTTAAAGGTGTGCCGCACCACCGCCCAGAATACTTTGGATTTTTATCAAAATACTGATTTAATCACATATCTTATTCCAGTTAAATGCATGCCTGAATAGTTTAATCTATTGCATTTTTATTGTGTATGCTTGGTAGATAAGGAATAATTTTGTATGTTTATCTTGAATTTTGCCGTCTTATTCTCTTACCTGTCCCGAGTTAGGTTTTATGGGTGAATAACCTATATCTTGTAAATAATGTTCTATCTTTTCTATTACTGATATGTATCCCCATTTGCTAAGTGCTGGGTGAGAATACTGCAGAACTGAAATGGGAAGTGGCGGTCAGGCTGGGGTCATTCTAACCAGGTGGATGGATTCAAATCCAGTGAAATGTCATCCTCTGAATTTCGTCATAGCTGCTTCATCAATCCACAATTCTCACTCATTTCCTTTTGAGACAGTCTTGTTTTGTGGCTCAGAGTAGCTTCAAACTTACAATTCTCCTTCCTTGGCCTCCTGAGTGCTTGAACTACAGATGCGAGAGACTATACTTTCTTGGCTTTTTTTTTTTTTTGCTGTTGTTGTTGTTTTTCAGGTTTTTGTTTGTTTGTTTGTTTTTTCGAGACAGGGTTTCACCATGAAGCTCTGGCTGTCCTAGAACTCGCTTTGTAGACCAGGTTGGCCTCGAACTCATAGAGATCTGCCTGCTTCTCCTCTGCCTCCTGAGAACTGGGATTAAAGGCATGTGCTACCACCACACAGTGGCTTTCTTGTTTTTATGCAATGTAAAAACTTTCCCTATCTGTGGTACTATGAGATCATACTAAACTTTGATGTTTCAGTAAGGTTGCCTTTTCAGTACAGAAGTAAGGAGTGGAAACATACTAGACATGTGATCTACCACTGAGCTGTACCCTAGCCCCACTGTTTCATTAAATATGATGGTTCTGATAGTAAAATTCTACCACATACATCTCTAAGCCATTTCCCCCTCATTTTTTAAGACATTCACATGGACACAAGAATGAAATGATTGCTGGATTTTACGTTTTAAATTTTAAAAATATGTATGTTTATGAGCCAGGCATGGTGGCGCACGCCTTTAATCCCAGCACTCTGGAGGCAGAGGCAGGCGGAGCTCTGCATTTGCGGCTAGCCTGGGCTACAACTCGAGTTGTAGGTCAGTCAGGGGCTGTTGAACAGAGAAACAAAAACACTGTGTTTATGTGTATATGTGTGAGTGTGTGTGTACCTGTGTGTGCAAGGATACTTTCGAAAGCCAGAAAGGGACACAGGATCCCCTGGAGCTCGAGTCACAAGGCACTTGTAAGCTGTCTGATTTGGATTCTGGGAACTGAACTGTGGTCCTCTGCAAGAGCAGCAAGTAGCTTAACTGCTGAACCATTTCTCCAGCTCTTATCATTCTTAAAAAAAAATGTATTTTTAATTATGCATATATGTATGCATTTGTGTTCACAAACATGAGTTCAGGTGTCCACAGACACCTCTTACCACACTGGAGCTCTACGTAGTTGGGAGTCACCCAGTGTGGGTACTGCATACTGAACTTGGGTCCTCTGCAGGTACAGCATGAACTCTTCACTTGTTAGCCACCTCTTTATCCCCTTTTATTTTTTGAGACTGTGTGTCATGTAGCCCAGGGTGGCTTGGAATGTGTTACTTAGCCAAATGTGTTTATTAATCTTCATTGCCAACTTCACTGGATTAGAATCACCATGGACACTCACCTCTGGGTGTGTCAGTGAACATTATTTCCAGAAAGGTTTAGCTAAGTAGGAAAGACTGACCCTGAATATAAACAGCAGCATCTCATGGGCTGTTTTCCAGGACTTAATAAAATGGAGAGAGCAAGTTGAACACCAGCACCATCTGTCTGCTTCATGACTGTTATACAGTCGACCAGCTCCCCCCCCCCCTTCACAGCCACCGTAATCTCCCAAACCTTAAACCAAAACAAACTCCTCATTCCTTAAGCTGCTTTTTGCCAAGTATTCAGTAGTGAGAAAAGTAACAAATCCAGAAAATTGGTTTTGCTAAGTAGGACTGTTGTTGTGGTAAACCTTTGGAAATTATTTTCAGGGGGAATAAGAGTCTGGGACTATGGGCTAGAAAAGCTAGAATGCTGTAAACCAAGCTGAAGTGGCTGTTCTGGTGAGGATTTAGAAGACCACAATGTCGTGAGGAATGCGGAAGCGAAGGCCCACCTTGAGAGGTTTCAGAAGGGAACACTAGAAGCCATTTTTTTATATTCAGGTAAAGAAGCTGACTGCATTCTACCTCTGTCCTGAGAACTTGAGTCGGGCGGGCTGGATTAAAAATTAATGGTCTAGCCAGGTATAGTGGCACATGCCTTTAATCCCAGCACACAGGAGGCAGGGACAGGTGGTCTACAGAATGAGCTCCAGGAGAGCCGGGAATACACAGAGAAACCCTGTTTCGAGAAAAAAAAATGATCTAATTTGTTTGGCAGAGGAAATGTCAAGACAAGATATTCAGGCTGTCATTTGTCACTGCCTTTGTTCAAGTCCACAGTAAGACAACAAAGGGAGTAAAATACGGAAAAACATTGTTTGGCAGGGGTGGGGGATTTAAATTTGTAAACAAGTCTGGTGTTGAAACTGCAGCTCTAATTGTGAAAGTAATTAGCACCGCTGAAGAGGAACCTCCTGTACTGCACTGGGCCAAACACAACATCCTACCCAGCAAAAGCCCCACCTTGTGAAAATACAAATTCATTGCGAGGGAACCTAATGTAAATAGAAAACAGGGGCTCCCTGCTCTAAAACCACCACCTAGCAACTGAGGCCACTACACGTTTTGGCTTAAGGAGGCCAGGGTATTACTTGATCTGACTAAATCTAGAATTGGCAGCTTTGCCCACGTGGCCCTGGTTTTACGGGCATGCAAGATCCAAAAAGCACTAAGGCATAGGGTGGTACCATGAAACCTGCCAAGACTTGATGAGGCCAAGAAATGTGTGACAGCGTAGGATTCCTTCTGAGGAGGCAGAGGTCCTTGTGTGGTGGCGCTCTGAAGGTGAAGCCTAAATTGCTGTGGAGACCACAGAATAGTGAAGCTATCAGGAGAGTGAGGTGCCCAGGCCGTGTGAGCATGAAGTAGCGCTGGCCCGAAGCTAGGTGTACTGGTAGGCAGTAGAGCTTGAGGGCTGCGACTAGCCAAGATTTCTGAAGTCTGGATGATTTCATCACGATCCTCAGATGCCTGCCAAGGATCTGCAGATTTGGTGTTTGTTCTGGCTTTTGGCCTTACTCTGCCTAGATCTTTTGTTCTATGTACCCATCCCTCCCTGTGCCAATGGGAATATTTATATTGTGTCACAAAATAATTTGTATTTTGATATTGCTCTAGGTCCCGGAGAAGACCACTTAAAGACTATGGAGACTTTTAGCCATGGACTAGATGCATTTTGCAGATATGAAAATGGGACATTAGGGTACAATGCTATGATTTAAAGTGATGTAGTTGACAAAGGGTGGAGCTATGAAGACTAATCTTACCAACTTGACTGAATATAATCACCACGGAAACACATCTCTTTGGGGGTTGTATATGAGTATGTTTCCACAAAGCTTTAAGCAGGGAAGACCCACTCTGAATACTACTGGTACAAACCCATGGCTGGGTTCATAGATTGAATAAAAGAAAGCAAAGGTGGCTGGAGAGATGGCTCAACAGTTAAAGGTGTTTACTGCTCTTGCTAAAGGTCCCAGACGACAGCTCACAACTCAGCTCCAGGGGATGACACCCTATTTTGACATCGGTGGGCTCCTACACATGTGTGGTGCACATATATGTACTCAGGCACTAAAATAGACTTAAGTTTTAACGCAGACCTTATACCAACATGAAAACAGTCATTCATTTTGTGTTTGTCGTGCTGGAGCTTGAGTCAGGGCCTCATATACACTAGGCCAGCACTCTATACCTCCTATTATTTCCCACAGGATTTGTCCATGTTTTTATAGCAGTAATTCACAATAATTAATAAACAAAGTAATGGGGTCTATCATGACGTTTTCTAGCAAAATGTATACTTAGCTTATCAAGATTTTTTGCAGAAGTTTTTTGTCTTTTTTAAAAACATAGGTATTTTGCCTGCACGGCCTAGAGTTCAGCCCTCCAGTCTCAATTTTCTTCTGCATGTTATAGCAGTAGAGGCCTGTGCCACCATGCTTTGGTTTCAGAAAAAAACAAAAACCCAAAATATCTATTTCATTGAAAGCATCACCAAATGAAATCTTTTTTTTAAGAAATCAGATTTATGAATTCAGTTATTTGCACACTTAGTAGTTCTATTCTTCTGTAAAAAAAACTTAGCACACACATCTCATCCTTGGAGGTTACATACAGAGTATAGAAAGAGAGCTTCTTGGTGGCATATTCACACCTTATTCTTCTTAGACTAACTTTAAATCAGGTACATGTTTTGCTGAGAATCATTGCATTGATCTGAAGTGACTTTTAAGACAACAAGGTACATTGTTTTAAAACCTATATGACCACTATACGGAGCACAGTGCTTTACAAAATTGATATTCACACAAATGCTTGAAATTAATGACAAGAGATTCTTCTTTCAGTTTTGACGAGATTACATAAGCCATTCAGTATTTTCAGTCTCATACCAGAATTTCTAGTAAAAAGTATCTACAAAACACGGGGCACATAGATATAAAAATGCTTGATTCAGAATCTTGTTTTATTTAAATGTGTTCTTCATGCTACAATACAACCCTTCAGAGTCAATCAAATACATAATGTCAATAGTTTCCTCAAAACTCTTAAAGGCTCACAGCCACAGTTCTAAACCTCTATAAGGCAGCTTCAGTATCCAAAAGATCACAGCACAGTAATTAATTGTGGCATGAAATCCCATTTTTATGCAAACCAAAAGAAGATCAAACTATCAAAAGCCAGTAACATCATTTAGTATGTATATTTCTTAACTCCCTAAACTTTCTCAATGTTGAGGAGTTTTTTTTTTAACCCCCAGTTTTTTGAGACAGGGTTTCTGTGTTGTCCTGGCTGCCCTGGTCCTCCTGCCTCTGCCTTCATTATGTTGGGATTAGAGGCTTGCACCACAATAGCCTGGCCTTTAAAAAAAATAAAAACAAAACAAAACAAAAAACCCCAAAGACCTTCTCCAGCAATTCTCATGTCAGCTAGAGCTGGAAATCACTGCTCTCACAGAATATCTAAGTAAGCAAAAACATGATTAATTTAAAAGTACAGCACAGGAAAATTGCAGGCACATGGGGGATAGACTTAGAACCAATACACTCTGCTTTTGAACACTTTTTCTCTCTTCCAAGGCTCAAAGATTACTCATAGCACAATTTATACCATAATCCTACCAACTAAGGAAAAGTACCACAGCGAGGGGCAGTAGAGTGCTTGTTCATCATGCAGGAGACTGCTCCATCCCTAGCTTACTAAAACAAAGATCCCAGAAAACACAACCTGGACAGAACTTTGTCAACTACCATTAATCATCCATTGTTATAATACTATTTGCAAGTGAGGGAAGACTGAGATTTTAGGCATAAGAAAGACACAGTCTCAGGGCACTGGAAGAGGGCGAGAACTTCTGATGCTGGAGTCCTATGGTCCCATCCAGGAAAAAGAGAAGAGGAAAGGTCCGCCTGTGGCAAGGGAGTGAGCACTCAATTTCTAAGAGCCTTGCTCATTTGAGCTCATTGGTCTTCTTTTCCCTTCGAATTTCAGATAACAGAATAGCAAATAGGAGGACAACTGTCCCTCACTATGGGGCCCCTCACAGAGAAATCAGGGAAAATGAGAACATTTTCACTCTGATAGGTTCATGATAGGTGTGCTATAGCAAAGGCTGGTTGGTTGTAGTGAAGTTTCACTCCAAATTTCACTGATTGATAAATTAGGCATGATTTTGGAATGCTTAACTTCTGCTAAAATGTAGATTTAATCCAATGTAGTATATAGTATACCACTTTTCACATTTTCTTGTGGGCCCTATTTTCATCACCAAAATATGAGAATAGTCTTACAGCTACTACCAAGGTAATGAGCTACGAAAGTAATTCGCTAGTATTGCTTTGAAAATATACCCTAGGCTATTAAAAGAAATTCGAACTCCATCCCAAGGCATCGTTTAAATTGGACTCCTCAGTCATCATCTACAGTCGGCTTAATGGTCACTCCTCTTCTTATCTGACCCCAACCAATTAAACTGCAAAATAAGAATAGAAGAAATTATGAGTTGTGTACTACCACACTGGCATCACCACAATCATCTGACAGGTTCCTTTACTTGCCTACCTTCCAAACTCAGATGTGTTCCCAAAGCTGCTTCTTATAAAGAAAGCCCATACTATTTTCTCTACAAAACCTGCTGTCATAAATATACTAGTAAGTTGGGTGTGGTAATAAATTCGAGCATTTGGGAGACAGGAAAATAAATATTAGCTCATAGCTACATAGTAAGTTCAAGGTTAACCCAGGTGAGAGGCTCTCCCATCTTAAACAAAAATTGCCGGTTGTGGTGGCACAATGCCAGCAGAGGAAGGCAGATCTGTGCTCAAGGACAGCCTGGTCTAAAAGTGAGACCCTGTCTCAAAGAGAAACAAAACCTAAGAGCTGGAGAGATGGCGCAATGAATGGTTAAGAGCACTCACTGCTCTTGCAGAGGGCCTGGATTCAGCTCCTAGCACCCATATGGTGGCTCACAATCACAAATCTCAACTTCCTTGGGCACCAGGCACACGTGGTGCACATACATTCAGGCAAACACATAAAATAAAATTTAAAACAACAAAAATTACTCCCCAGAAAGAATATTTGTTTTACTGTTCTAGTCAAAAGAAGAAAAGAATCCACCTACCTGTTCAGATGGTACAGATCCATCTAAGGGCCCTTAAGGAAACTCAGATTACATCTCTAATACATTTTGTGTTTGTGTGTGAACGTGCATGAGCGTGTCTGTTGGTCTCTATATGTGTTTGGTTGTTTTGAAAAGGAGTTTCACTATGTAGCTCTGGATGTACAAAGTTGCTTTGTAAATTAGGCTGCCTTTGAACTCAGAGGTCCACCTGCCTGTTTCCAATGTTGGGGATTAAAGGCCTGTGCCACTACATCCAGCTCAAATTTGAAAACAAATCAAACCCACTTCTCTATACTTGTCTTTGGAAAATGCTTTCTTTTCACCGACTGCCTCAGTAGATCAATGGGTTTTTTTTTTTAAATATTTATTTATTTATTTGTTTATTTATTATGTATACAATATTCTGTCTGTGTGTATGCCTGCAGGCCAGAAGAGGGCACCAGACCCCATTACAGATGGTTGTGAGCCACCATGTGGTTGCTGGGAATTGAACTCAGGACCTTTGGAAGAGCAGGCAATGCTCTTAACCTCTGAGCCATCTCTCCAGCCCGATCAATGGGTTTTAAATAACATTAGCTGGAAAAATAAAGAGAACCACAGGAACACAGTCTGTAAGCAGACTGCTCTCCACCACAGGGCCTTTGATAGCTCTGGTGACGCATGCCTTTAATCTCAGCACTCAGGAGGCAGAGGCAGATGGATCACTTTGAGCTCCAGGCTAGCTTGGTCTGTATAGTAAGTTCCAGAGAAGCCAGGGCTACATAGGAGGGGGTAGTGGTGGTAGTAGAGATACCAAAAAGATTAACTTTTGCTAAATTGTAGTTACAATTCAGATCAGGACTCCATTTTTAAATGAAAATGAAAGTGATATTGACAAAAATGCAGCAAGGAATGGGCAAGAACACAGACTGAGAAATCAAACATAACTGTGTTTCCCAGCACGCACACAGACCTGCATTTCTAAGGAACCCTCCCCACTGATGAACCATAGACAATTTGTACATCAAAATAAAAGACAGCAACAGATCATAGCCTAATGAATAAAACAGACCCTACTGAATCTGCATTATGAAATGGGTAATCAAATGATGAGGAAGAAAAATACCAAACAAATGTGGACTGATGGGATTGGCTGGGGGAGGTCACAGGAGGGTGGAGTCACTATGTTACAATCAATATAGTGAAGTTCAAGTCAGGCAAAAACTGTCGGTGAATGATAAATACTGGAGGGGGTAGAATCTGATGAACATCAAGCTATTTGCATATACAGGGTCTCCTCACACATTTCTTTCTTTTCTTGGCTGTGTGTATATGTGTACGTACTTGCATGCACATGCTAACTTTGAGCTAGCGCAGGTGGCCCTCAAACTCACTATGGAGCTGAAGATGACTTTGGATTCCTAATCATGTGTATTCACCTTCTAAGTATAGAGATTACATTCTGTGCCACCGCATCTAGCCTCCTAGATTTCTTATTAATTGCCACGGAAATTAAAAGTAAAAAAACTTACTAGACACCCTCACCACAGCAAAAGTCAACTTCCAGAGAGAGCAGTCAGTCATGCACCTCTGGCCATGATTTCCCGAGAAGACATGACTACCCATAAGAATTCAGGGAAGCCAGGCAGTGGTGGTGCACGTCTTTAACCCAGGCACCCAGGAGACAAACACAGGTGGATCTCTGTTGAGTTCTAGACCAGCCCGGTCTACAGCGCGAGTTCCAGGACAGCCAGGGCTACAGAGAAACCCCATCTCAAAAACCCAAAGAATTCCAGGGTTGGTGCACACTTTTAACCCCAGCACTCGGGGAGCAGAGCCAGGTGGATCTCTGAGTTAAAGGCCGGCCTGATCTACAGAGTGAGTTCCAGAATAGCCCGGGCTACACAGAGGAACCCTATCTTGAAAACCCAAAAATGAATTTCAGAGGATTCAGGTTCCTAGCACCCTCATTGGGTGGCTCACAAGCACCTACAACTCTAGGTCCATGCGCCACAACAACTCTTTCTCCCATATGCAATGGACTCGTGTACATACCCACACATACATATAAAATTAATACATACATAAATGTGTGTTTACATGTGTGCTCACTTCTTTGCTTTCTAGACAATTCTTGCAATGTTACTGTAAAGTATAAAATTAACTACAAATAAAAAATTTACAGGAGCCAGGTGTAGTGACACACGCCTTTCCCCCCAGCATTCAAAAGGCAGAAGCAAGCAGATTTCTGTGGATTTGAGACTAGGCAGGGCTACACAGTGAGTCCTAGTTCTAAAAACAAAGTTTATGAGGAGCAGCCCTAGAAAGGGTTAGGGGGAGGTGGGTGAATATGCTCACAATCCAATGTGTCAAATTCTTTGTTTCAAGACAGGGTTGGTTACCCTGGCTGTCCTGGAACTCACATAAATCTGCCTGCCTCTCCCTCCTAAGTGCTGGGACTAAAGGCGTGCGCCACCACTGGTTGGCATGTGTGAAACTCTTAAAGAAACTAATTTTAAAAAAGTAAAGTCCAGGGCTGATAAAAGATGGCTCAACAGATAAACGTACTCATCACCAAGCCTGACTACCTGAGTTTGATCCCCAGAACCCATAGTGGAACAAGAAGTTGTTCTCTGACCTCCATATGTATACTGTGGCATGTGTGTACTTCTATACATACACACATTAAAAAAATCATTTAAAAAGGGTGCTTGCTACACAAAGTCAGACAACCTGAATTCAATCCCCGGAACCCATTCCAACTCCACACGTTGTTCTGACTCTGACTGTCTCTCACACACACTAAATGGAGGGAATATTATAACTCAGTACTTTTTTTGTATAGGTTACACCTAAAACAAAGGGAAGTCAATTGAAGTATTTGTACTAATATAAAGGAATACAAATCAAGGCTATAATACAGCTCCTAAAACCATTCAAACAAAAAAGTGAGAGCTAAAGCCACACTTACTGTTGTGTTCAAGAAGTGTGTGTGTGTGTGTGTGTGTGTGTGTGTGTGTGTGTGTATGTGTATCTCTCACTAAGAACTTAAGCTGTTTAGGCAAAGGCAAACACAAACTTACCGCCAATGTTTCTCAACTCTTCGGCTAAGAGCAATTTTTTCTCCTACTTCTGTGCACACAGGATTAGTCAAAACAATCTTGCCCAAATCAGCCTTGACAGCACTAACTCTTCCTCCTGTTGACAGGGATCCTATATTGACCATAAGCACTTCATTCTTAGACAGCTTTTGGACCTAGGGAAGTAAAGAAAGGGAAAAACAAATGAGGAAATGGTCTCCGAAGAGTGTGATGGCACAGACCCAGCTCTGGGAGGTCAGCCTGCTTTACAAAGCAAGTCCCAGGACAGCAGGGGCAATGTTGAGAGACCCTGCCTCAAAACCAAAACCAAAACCAACAGAAGCTGGGCATTAGTGGCACACACCTTTGATCCCAGCACTCAGAAGGCAGAGGCAGGTGGATCTCTGTGAGTTTGAGGCCAGCCTGGTCTACAGAACACGTTTCAGTACAGCTAGGACTTCAGAGAAACCTTGCCTTGAAAAAACAAAAACAAGACAACCAAACCCAAACCAAATTTTTGTTTCAGTAAGGATTTAAAAAAAATTGATTGCACGAGAGCGGTTTTTGATTTTTTTTTCAGGAAGTCAATTTACTTATAAATTAATTACACATTAGCTATAAAAGACCAAAACTCAAAACTGAGTTCAGCATTGTTGTTGGTCTCTTTCTGAAAGACAAGTCATACAAAGCACTTACCTTTGCTGCTTTCTTGTCTCCTTCAGTTCGTACACCCAGGAGACGTCTAAGCAGGAAATAGGAAATTTCCAGTTCCGTGAATATTTCAGGTAAAGCTCCAACAGCACCAAGCACTTGTCCCACCATCCTGTCAGCTCTGCACAAAGTGGGGTCGATCTTTGTTCCAACTCCTAATATAAAGCAAGAATATTTGGCCTTATTTCTTATCTGAAACACCTCTGGAGTGATTTGCTTTAAAGTTTAGTTAAACAAGCATAAATTGATACCTCTTTACAAATACTTCCATATTCACACACATAAATTAAGCTTAACAAAATTCCTGCTTTATTTCTATTTCATTCATTCAGTGGTTTGTCTCTGTAACAGCTCTGGCTGTCCTGGAACTGGCTCTGTAGACCAGGACTAGGCTCAAGTTCAGAGACTCGCTTGCTCTTGTCTCCTGAGTGCTGGGATTAAAGGCGTGTGCCACCACAGCCCAGCTACTTTTAAGTTATGTGTATATGCATATTATCTGTGTGTGGATTCGAGCCCGTAAATGTGGTGCCAGAAGAGAACACTAACTTTCCTGGAGCTGGAGTTACAGGTGGTTCCGAGCAGCTCCTAACCCCAGGAGCTCTGCCTGAGCAGCAGGCATTCCTCACCACCGAGCCACATCTCCACACCTTAAGAACATGGCAGAAAGGAAAACTTAATTGTGGATATTTTTTTTTCTTTAGTCCAAGGGTAAATTATGGACTCTCATTCAATCTTGCCCTTTTCAACTAATCAAAAAGTTTTAAGAAAATTGAAAACTCTTAAATCAATTCAGCAACTCCCGCATGGTAGAGGTTCTCTTATTTGATCTACCAACCACCACCTTGATTTTTTCCTTTTTTTTTTTTTGAGACAGGGTCTTACTTGAGGAAGCTCTTATATCTCGAGTCTGGTTATGTTGTCCACGTTGGTCTCAACTTTCTGTGCTAATGGCAATCCTCCTGCTTCTGACTCTCAAGTATGTGGGACTACAGGTGCTTACTAGAAGTTATTTTCTTTCATCGCCACCACAGTATAAGTATAATCTAACATTTTTGAGTAACTTTACACTTGCGAAACACACAAAAACAACCACTATAACCAAGTGTTTCACCAAACAGTAGACCAGGCACTCACTCTAGTGCAAACCTGTAGTAGTCCCAGCTACCTGAGGACCATTTGAATAAGGAAATTCAAGGCCAGCTTGGGAAATATAGCAAGATAGTAAAACAAACCTAAATCCTCAAACTATATGTAACTAGTTGGCTGTTTTGAATGCTTGGGCCATCAAACTTATTTTCTGCCAGGCCCGGTGACACAGACCTGAAATTCCAGCTATTGGAGCTAGCGAGGCAGGAAGACCTCCAGTTCTAGCTCAGCCTGAGTAACCTTGTAAGAACCTTTCTAAAAATGAAAAAGAGTGGGGCTAGAGAGATGGCTCAGTGATTAAGAGCACCCACTGGCTACTCTTCCAGAGGACCCAGCTTTCGATTTCCAGCACCCACACAAACAGCTCACAATTGTATATAACTTCAGTCCCAGGGGACCCAGTGCCTTCTTCTGGACTTTATGAGAACCAGACACCCATGTAGTGCACAGACACACACATGCACACAGGTAAAACACCTATACATAAAAATAAATAAATAGTAATAATTTAAAAAAGAGAAAAAAGAGGGTATATAAGGCTATACCTCAGTGGCAGAGAATCTACCTAGTATGTTCTAGACATTAGGTCCAAACCCTAGGACTTCAAAACAAAGTAGTCAGAAATAATTATTATTGCTAGTAAGCATTTATACACCAAAATGTACCTTAAAAATATTTTATTATTTGCTTGTATGAGTGGGTGAGCAAACACCTTTACCTGAGTCAGACTGCCAGCTCCAAAATGTACTCTTTGTTTAAATTTTCTAAGATGGACCAATAAGGTCAGGTGTGGTGGTATACACCTTGAAGTCTAGCACTTGGAAAGCTGCTTTGAGCCCTAATATAGCCAAAGATATATGGCAAGACCCTATGTCAAAAATTAAAACAGGATATGGTGGCATACCTTTAACCTCAGCACTCAGGAGGCAGAGGAAGGCGGATCTTTGTGAGTCTGACGCCAGCCAGGCCTACGTAGAGAGACCATATATCTCAAACAAACAAACAAACAAACACCAGAAGGAGGCAGATAGATAGATGACTCAGCAGTTAAGAGCACTTGTTACTCTTGCAGAAGACCTGGATTTGTTTCCCAGAACTCACAAGGCAGCTTACAACCACTGAAACTCCAGTGGCAGGGGGTCTGACGACCTCTTTGGCATTCTTGGGTACCAGTACACACACAGTGCTCAGACACACAGACACACACACACAGACACACACACAAACTCATACACATTAAAATAAGTAAATCTGTAAAACAAAACAAACCTTATAATCTATCCTTAATATGTCTTATGAAACATGCCACAAATCTCCACAATTAAGAGAGAGATGACAGGGAAATGCTTACCAATGAGACCACCTGGGGCGGCATACTGAAGATCATTATGTTCCGCAAACAGTGATACAATTTTGGAAAAGATTGGCTTACACATGAGCTTTCCTTCACTATCTTTGGAAACAATACCCGGTCTCACTTCTATCTCCTGGCCTACCTGTAAACACATAATTAGCAGTGAAAATTACTAAAGAACACATTTACTATTTACATACTAATGTTCTAACAAAAAATGACCACAAAAACTAAAGAAGTAATCTTTCCTCTAATTTCATGATTACCCCCCTTATTTACTTATTATTTTTATTGACCTGCAACTCACTATGTAGAACACGCTGGCTTTGAACTCAGATACCAAGATACCAGCCTGCTTCTGGCTCCCAGCTGTGCACCACCATGCTAGGTTAAAATTATTACTTAAAACAATATTTTACTGCAGGGTGGTGGTGACGCATGCCTTTAATCTCAGCACTCGGGAGGCAGAGGCAGGAGGATCTCTGTGAGTTTGAGGCCAGCCTGGTCTACAACAGCTAGTTCTAGGACAGGCTTGATAGTTACTACAAAACCCTGTCTCAAAAACAAAACAAAAAAAATTACTTTTTGTTTTATTTCAGACATGGTCTCTCTGTAGTTCTGGTTGTCCTGGAAATGACACTGTAGACCAGGCTGGCCTCAAACTCAAGAGATCACCTGCCTCTGCCTCCCCAATGTTCGGTTTGTATTACAACACTCAGCTTTTTTTCCCCAATGGAAAAAACTGATATAGGAGATAGATGGCTCAACAGTTAATAAGCACTTGGTGCTCTCGAAGAGGATCAGAGTTCAGTTCCCAGCAGCCACATGGTAGCTCACAGCCTTCTCTAACTCCAGTTTCAGGGGACCAACAGCCTCTTCTGGCCTCCACGGACACATGCATATTCAGAGACAAAATACTCATACATACATATAAAATAAATAAATCTAAAAAGTTTTAAAAATCAGGTCAACTTAACTGTTGCAATTTACCAAGTAAACCTGTTGTCATATAAAACACGCTCCACCACCACTAGAGAACTATAAATTTAGAGGTCAGACAGCTTCCAAAAACAAAAACAAATCCGTATCCAATATCTGACAACATGATGAAGAAACATTTTTTCATTAGTGTAGTGGTGCAGACCTTTAGTCCCAGCAATCGGGAGGCAGAGGCAAGGGGATCTCTAAGTTCGAGGCCAGCATGCTTAAGACAAGTGTGGGCTGATGAACTGGCCCAGAGGGTAAAGGTGCTTACCACCATGTCTGAGTTCCATCCCAAGAAGCCACTAAATGGAAGGAGTCAACTCCTGAAAAGTTGTCTTGCTTCCACCTGGGTACTGTAGCACTAGTACGTCCACACACATAACAAACAAATACACAGCGCAACAATTCGAAGCCAGTGTACCTTTAAGACTCCTTTCAGAATACTACCACCCGCTACACCTCCCTTAAGGTCATCAACTTCACAGCCAGGTTTGTTGACATCAAATGACCTGATAACTAGAAAAAAAATGAACACAAATTAAAGCCATTTCTCTTTATTTTAGATTCAGAAGACACATTCTTTTAAAACTCAACTTTTCTTAAAAAATAATCTAGTATTATTGCTTTAATGCTTACTGAAGCCTTACTTGTGAGAGTAAAAAAATGGAAATAGCCTGAAAGTACATTAAGAGCAAAAGTATTTATGTAATGAGCACAAGTCTTTTCTTTCTTTTTGGTGAGGGTCATTATCCCCGATGTCTCATAACTATTTACACAGCGTTTACAACAAATTAGCTATTATGACTTAAGGCACATACAGGGACCGGGAGTGTAGTGGTAAGCCCTTGCCTTGTAGCAGCATCAAAAAAGTCAATCAAGTGCACAGGAGACTGTACGTGGACACTCGCAACACGCCACTTTACCTATCTCGTGTTTCTGAGAGAGTGTCTGACTTTGTAGCCCTGAACTCAGAGATCCACTTGCCTCTGCCACCCAAGAGCTGGGATTCTAAGTGTACCACCATGCTGGGATTTTTATATATAAAATTTCTGTATTATATGACTTCTACCATATAAAATAATTTTTAAAAAATTATAAAAAGCAATTCTAAGACTATTATTTTTAGGTCATCCAAGAGAACATTCCTCAATAATCACACAAACAGCTCCAAATGAAGGCCTGGAAGGGCCCAAATACCTACTTTAAAAGTGTTCCTACATCTTTGAGCATTAACCACAGTCCAGTGAAATTGAACTTACTGGTTTTTCAGTAATGGTACAACATCATTTATATGGAACTGTAACGTCCCAACATGATGTACTTCTCTAGCAACTACTGTATTACTCCATGTTGGTTACAGAAAATATCATATATAAAAGCACAAAGAGTTTCTTTTGTACTCAAGGCTGTCATCCAGCAATATAAGACATTATTTCAAATAGGTTTTATGGATTTATCACCTCTGCAGAAAGAGAAAGTATTAATAAACAGCCTTGAAGAAGCACTAACGTGGAAGAGTTCAGTTAAATGTGACTCCTGTCACTTACCAATGAGACGGGGCTCTGAAGTAAAGTCTCTTGGGGGCACTGGTATTTTCTTCACTATGTACTCACAGACAACTTCAATATTGTATTTCAGCTGAGCAGAGATTGGAATAATTGGCGCTCCTTCTGCCACTGTTCCTACATTAACAAATTTCAGAAAGAACAAAATCCTTGGGTCTTACAAAACTTGGTCTATACAGCCGCTAGACAAAGTAATTAGAGCTAACAGAGGAATAAACATTCCCACACAAATGCCAGTCAGCAAGCAGAAAGTAGTCTATAGAAATATGACAATATTCTTTCTTTAACTCCACAAAATGAATTCATTGTCCTCTAAAGGAACAACTGCTAAAACTGTATCACTGGGTATATTTAACAGAGGCAAATGCTGTGTTTAAAGGAATAAAATATGAACACTTCAGGGAAGGAGCTCTTTACAAGCTCAAAGAATTCTAACATGTAATTAACCTTTCCATAAATGCCAAGAGTAAATTACAGACTCCTTGCTGATCAAAGACTGGCTGGCATATATCACATTTTTAAAAATTAATCACATGTCAGACAAACTGGTCAAAGAAATAGACCAAAATAATTAGATTTTAATAAAAATGAATTATTTTTTTATGCTGAAATTAAGTTCCCAACATGAAAAGGCTAAAATAATTAAATGTCAACAGTAATATGCATCATGTCTTCTCTGAGAGTGAAACACGCCATGGTATTAGAGAAAGGAACCCTGCAAAAATTCATTTGTGTTTTGAGGCAGGGTCTCTCTATGCAGTCCTTGCTGGCCTGGAACCAGCTATACACACCAACAAGCTGCCCTTGAACTCAGAAGCCTGCACACACCCGTGCCTCCAGGATGCTGGGATTAAAGGCATGTGCCACGAGGCCCAGAAGAAAGATTGTTTTTGAAATGCTTTTATTCATCTGTCACTAAGGATTGGGAGGCAATGATGTGAACTCAGTACCCTGTGTATGCCAGGCAAGCCCTCTACCATTGAGCGATAGTCTAAATTCTTGGGATTTTAAAAAACTTAATCTGATAGCATTTCCAAACTTCAGTTTTAATTTTGTACATTAAATTCAAAAATAGATATTTATAGTCTTACCAGGACACTGTATCAAATCACTAACTAGTAGCAGGTAGAAAAAAAAGAACATTTATGATACCTAAATTGACTTTGTTTTAGATAATGTACTATATTACCTTTCAAAGTGATCCTCTGATTTAAGTTATTATAGCTTCTTACCTTGTACAAATGCAAGAATCTGCTCATATTGTTCCTTAGCCTGACTTTCTTTTACCAGATCAATTTTATTCTGTAAGATCAAAATATGCTTGAGTTTCATGATTTCTATGGCAGCCAGGTGTTCAGAAGTCTGAGGCTGAGGGCATGATTCATTACCAGCTAGTTGACAGAGAATAAAAAAGATACATAAGATTAACTAGAAATATCTAGACCATGCAATTTCAAAAATAGAAAGCAGATTGTTGGTTGTGAGGAGCTGGAGGGAGTGCAATTGGGCAATGACTTCTTAACAGGCATCACTTTTGCGGTGATGAAATTCTGAATGTACTTCCATTCACTGAGTTGTCCCCTCTAAGTAATAAATGGCAATCTTTATATTATGCACATATTCTACCAACTTTGCTTTCACCCTTTATCTGTGCTTACTACAGTCTCCCATTCCCGGCTCTAAGCAAGAAGTTTCCAATGAACAGATTTGGCTTCAAGAGCTCTTTTGTTTAGGCCTTCTAGCTCAGTTTAGCCTAGGTATATTCTGGCAGTCAAGCTCCTAGGAGACTCAACCTCCTGAGATTAAGGTTACTCCTTCCAAGCAAGAGCACCGTGAAGACAAGCAACAGTGCATACCATAGGCAAGATTTGCTCACCATGCTAGCAATCACCTTGCCCAGTATGTTCATGTGTCCTGTACTATAATCTCTCGAATGCCTAAAAGCACCATATCCATGCTTATCAAATCTCTTATTAGCTCACATAAGGAGGCAAAAGTAACTTTGGAAACAGCCATGTTGTACTACATCACGGCAATTATTGTGAATAACAATCACACCTCTACATGCAGGGACAACACACAACATACACATATGCCTTTTTGGATACTGTCCGACTTCTCAGAAGCCATAACCCAAGGACTCTTTTGCTTAGTATTTTGGTTGTGATATCTAGAAGAAGAAAATGTCATTCTGGATGGCACATTCCTAGTCATGCCTCACTTAGGTAATGGACACGGCCTCCAAAGGATTTAGTTCTTCCTCACATATTCTACCCAAATTAGTTCTTTATTGGTTTGTCCAGATCAGTTCTGATGATTTTACCTATCAACAGAAGAGCTGCATCCATCACTGCTGCGCCGTTCAACATTGTAGCCATCAAAATATCATGGCCAGGACAGTCAACAAAGGAAACATGCCTAACAGTTGAGAAACAACAATCAGCCTTAAAACCAATCAAAACTATAAGCAAGGCCGGGTGGTGGTGGTGCATGCCTTTAATCCCAGCACTCGGGAGGTAGAGGCAGGTGGATCTCTGTGAGTTCGAGGCCAGCCTGGTTTACAGAAGGAGTTCCAGGACAGGCTCCAAAGTTACACAGAGAAACCCTGTCTCAAACAAACAAACAAACAAAACCAAACTATAAGCAAACTAGATTTCTTGAAGTTAAATCTCAAGGGAACTGGTTTTCACTGTGGGAAAACGTAGACTTTGGGGCTCATGCCTCTGGTACCCAGGTAAACCCAAACACATACATATAATTAAAAACACTAAATTTTAAACACAGAGAGAATGAGAATTTGAAAAAAATATTTTGTCCAAAATAGCACTAGTCCTGAAAACCTAGAACTGTGCACTTGAAGTGAGGGGCGGCGCTTCTCTAAAACTCTAGGGCTCCAGGTCAGGGCCTTTGAAGGCTTTTCAGACCCTGCTTCAGCCTCACAGAAGACAGCACCGGCTCCCCTCGAGCTGGAGTGTGAGGCCGTTGTGACTGTTGGAAATGAGCTCGAGTTCTCTGTTTAAGAGCTTACATTTGTGCACGGTGGGGCACACCTCCAATCCCAGCACCCGGGAGGGAAATCTTGTTCATTACAATTTTCTGAATTAATTCTAAAATTCTGTTGTTATTTAGATAGGGTCTCAATATGTAGCCCTGGCTAGCCTGGAACTCACAGATCCACCTGTCTTTGCCTCCCTCCTTCCCAGTGCTGGAATTTTAAAGGCTTGTACCACCATATCTGGGCTTGCTTTTTTTCCCCCTACAAAGCTAGGTTGGGGTTTTACTGAAGCTATTTTAGTATAGATGTTAAGCACAAAGGTGAAGAGGTACTTAGAAAGAAAGACACATTCCAGGGTGTGGGGATAGGCTTCTAAAGAGTTACCAATATCAAAACTTTAAATAAAGGCCAACAATATAGCTGATATTCTCTTGCTTCAGTGTGACTTATTTTGCTTGGTGGGGATAGTTTTTTTAGTTTTTTTTTGTTTTTGGTTTGTTTTTTTAAAACAGGGTTTCTCTGTGTAGACCAGGCTTGACTCAAATTAGAGACCTGTCTGCTTCTCCCTCCCAAGACCCTATCTAAAACAGAATCCTGATATCCAGTTCATTACAATTTCTTAAATTAATTTTTAAAATTACATTAAAGTGTTGCTTGAGAGATTGCTCAGTGGTTAAGAGCATTGGCTGCTCTTTTGGAGGACCCTGGCTCCCAGCACCCACATGGTGGCTCACAACTGTCTACAGTGAATCTGGCATTTTCGTACAGAGACACATGCAGCAAAACAACAACACAAACACAAATTAAATAAATAAAATGTCGGGTGTTAGTGGCACACGCCTTTAATCCCCGCACTAGGGAGACAGAGGTAGGAGGATCTTTGTGGGTTCAAGGCCAACTTGGTCTACAGAGCAAGTTCCAGGGCTGGCTCCATAACTACTGGGAAACCCTGTCTTGCAAACAACAACAAAAACCACCACCAACAACAAGAAAAACAAAATGATTGCATTAAAGTATTTATCCTGATTATTGAGATTTCTTGGTTTCTCCTCCATCCTTAAATTTTGGCCCTGAGATGAAGATATGACTCTGCCCCAATCTAATATGGTCTTAATGAACTTGCAATCCCCAAAGACATCAGTAACCAGATACCAGCACCCTCTGGTAAAGGACCAACATGTGCAATAATATTCAGAAAATTGTTTGGAAGCTCAGTGGTGGTGGTGCAAGCCTTTAATCCCAGCACTTGGGAGGCAGAGACAGGCACAGCTCCATGAGTTCAAGGCCAGCCTGGTCTACAAAGTGAGTTCCAGGACAGGTTTCAAAAAGCTACAGAGAAACCCTGTCTCGAAAAACCAAAAAAGAAAGAAAAAAAAATTGTTTGGAAAGGAGTCTATTTATTTTAAAGAAGTAATTTCAAAACTGGTTTCATTCTTCCTTATCTAGCAAACAAATGACACTGTTGAAATCCAGTAAGGTATTTTCTCTCCCTTCCTTTTTTGCTTATGTAATACTTGCCTTAAAAAAAAGAATTTTTAAAGAAGATTTATTTTTATTTTCTGTGGATAAGTGTTATTTCTGGTACCCTCAGAGGCCAGGAGAGGATGTGGGAGTTCCTGGCTGTGAGCCACCAAGTAGATGCTGGGAATTGAACCTGGGTCCTCTGCAAGAGCAGCCAGTGCATTCAACAGCTGAACCCTCTCCAGCTCCCTCATGCATCTTTTCAGTTTGTAGAACTTTTTTCTAAGTATTTAAAATTAATTAAAAAATATTTCTTTCAATTATCATCATTACATAAAATAACATGAAATAATGGAAAAACAATGAAACAATTCAGCAACTAAGTTTATAAAAGCACAAAACGGAGACTTAAAGAGCATAAAGTATTTTTTAACACAAAAGTTACCTGACTAATTTGAAGTTCCCTTTGGTTCCAGGGATGTCCGTGGGAAACTCATCCGGTGTACTACTGCCACATGACCTGTAACATTCTGGTCTAGGACAACTTGGGTCATCAAGTTTATAAATCTAAAAGTTTCAATGTAAAAGAAAAAAGAAAACTGGATTTGTTACCTATGCAACAATCAAAGTTAAATGGTTTCTAGTTTCAGGGTCCATAGATCACCTTAGCATTGGCATATCCAAGCTTGATGGTAATGTTTCTTTCTAGTTCATTTTTGAATCTGACGGTGTGAACTCCAGAAATAGCCTTTACCACAGTGGACTTCCCATGAGCTACATGGCCAATTGTACCTATTGACAAAGCAGAACAAAATTACCTTCTTCACGCAAGTACACCAAACATTTCGTCAAATAGCATGGAGTAGAAAACAAACAAAAAAACGGCCAGGCAGTGGTGGTACACACCTTTAATCCCAGCACTCAGGAGGATCTCTGTGGGTTTGAGGCAAGCCTGGTCTACAAAGTGAGTTCCAGGACAGCTAGGCTAACAATGAGAAACCCTGTCTTGGGGGGAGGGAGGGGAGGAAACAAGAAAACTAAAAACCATAGACATCAAGGTAAAACTACCAGTAATAGAGCTAGTGACATGACTCAGCAGGTAAAAGCACTTGTCACAAAAGCCTGAGTCACCAGAATGGAGAGAAGCAGCTCCTGAAAGTTCTCCTGACGACACACACACACATACACACACACACACAATAATCACAATGGAAATAAAACTATTTAAAGAGAATTCAATTTTTCCCTATCTGCTCTGTCCTATTGTAAATTTCTTCTCAGACCAATTTTAGTATATGTACTTGAGAAGAAGAAACAGGATGGACAGTTTGAGGCTAGCCTGGACAATGTAGAAAGACCCTGCTATAAAACTTGGAAGAAAAAAATACTCAAAATCTTGCTTCAAGAGCCAGGGGTATGGTAGATCTCTGAGTTCAAGGTCTGCCTGGTCTACAGAGAGTTCCAAGACAGCCAGGGCTATACAGAGAAACCCTGTCTCAAAAAACAAAACAAAAAATCTTGTCTATCAAGAAACATTGACATGCCCAGTTAATATGACAAACTCCAGCACAACAAAAAAGAACACACTCATAATCACAGTATTCAGAAGTCTGAGGCAAGGAGATTGTCTTGAGTTAGAGGTCTGTGTAGCTTGGGCTACACAGTGAATACCAAGCTAGCCAGGGTTGCATAGCAAGTGTTAATCCCAATGGCGAGAATAAGACCACTACCACACTTGAGCCGAATTTGAAGCCAGCTTGACTCTTATTGGGGTGCATCTAAGAGCTGGCCAGCAACTGCCTCCAAAGTTGGTTAAAGAGAGCAGCCCTGCCAGGCAGTGGTGGCACATACCTTTAAGAAAGTTTATAAATCTTAAAGTTTCAATGTAAAAGAAAAAAGAAAACTGGATTTGTTACCTATGCAACCAATCCTCTCAGCACTTGGGAGGCAGAAGCAGGTAGATCTGTGAGTTCGAGGTCAGCCTGGTCTACAAGAGCTAGTTCCAGGACAGCTAGGACTGTTACACAGAGAAAACCTGTCTCAAACAAAACAAAACAACAACAACAAAAAAAGGAGCAGCCACAAATCCTCTTTTAAGGAGCAAAAAATCCTGGAGTACTTTTTACAAAAGGGAGATAATGGGGCAGTAAGGAAATACAAATAAATAAATAAAAAATAAAAAAAATTAAAAAAACCATGTGGTCACCCACCATGAGATTAGGAGGGGTCAAGGAGGGTCTGGGTATTCTCAAAATAAATCATGGCCATGGGTTGGGGAAGGTTAGGTTCTAGGAAACAGAGCTACAAAACTCTCACAGTGAACAAAAACTCATTTTTAAAAACACATAATGGCTCCTGCCTTTAAAACAGAGTCAGGCAGGTTCCTCACAAGTCTGACTCAAAACTAAAAAAAAAGAAAAAAAAAAAAAGAAAAAAAAACCAGACCACACCACATTTATACTCAAGCAATATACCTCAACAGTTCTAGGTGCCTATTAGGGGGAGGGGGAGAATTCTACTTAATTATAGCCTATATATCAAATAAAACTTCTATAAACTGCCCTTGTATGACAATAATGCATTTTCACTTCAAACTTGTGCTACCTATGATTACACACTGCCGAGTACTAGTTTACTGTCGTAAACTTTTCAAACATATATCTCCAAAAAAAAAAAAAAAAGAAGCAGCATTTTGTTCACAAGGGGTCCACAGCTTTCTTTCTGTTACTGTACTACTCAGGCCAACCTCCAAGGAAACGCCCACATTCTTCAAGTAGTTGCACAAAAGAAGACATTAAAATTACTTTTAAGTCAAGTGTCTGAGCTATCTTACCAATATTAATTGTAGCTTGTCTGCTGATAACTTCATGTGAAAGTGGTGTCAACTTGGTGACGTCCTGCAATGAAATAGTTCAAAACACAAATCAATATAAACCAGAAAATCTTCCTTGACTTTATACTCCCCAGACTCAACTCTACCCTGTATAAGCAGCACTTTTCTCCCGCTGAAGTGCTTTGTCTCGAAACGGCTAAGATTGGGGACCCTAGCAGCCCTTCACTGTTGCAAGACAACACCATTCACTAAGAGAGGTCTGGAGATAAGAGGCCATCTAATCCTGGAGCCTTAGCAAGTCCTCAAGGGTTCAGCAGTGTCAGTGTAGTCCGGTTTCCAACCCTTTACAGACTTAATGGCAATCTCGTGTGTCTCGTGCTGGCCTCCAGCTCGAAATGTAGCCAAGAATAATCTTTAACTTCTGATCTTCCTATTTGAATCTCTTAAGAACTAGGAATTACTGGTGTGCGCTTATGCACTTCTGGGGATGGAACTCCGGGATTTGTGCCTGCTAAGTATGCACTCTACCCAGTGAAGTGCAGCCCCACACTCCTTAATTATATTTATCATCAAAGCTTAGCCACACACTCTAGGAGTTCCAAGTCTCACAATCGTTCACCAGTTTGGGGACTAGGCAAGGTACTGGCAGCGGAACTGGCACGCCTTAGACTTAGAGGGTCCAGCCTTAGGATGGCTCCGCTACCCCGCGCTCCAGCCACCAGGGCGGTGTCTCATCGCCACGCCCTTCAAGAGTCCATGCCCTCTCCCGAGCTCAGGGTGCATTCCCGCCGCAAATCGAGAACTCACCAATGTGGCAAGATCCTGTCGGGAAAGATGTGGCTGCCCGAGAGTCACTCCAACCTCACCCCCAGCCATCTTGCTCAGAGAGGAAGGAAACTGTTCGGTAGCAGCCTGATTTAACGCAGGTCCCCTTGGGCGGAGCGAAGGAGGAGAGGCGGGAAGGCGGACTACGGCCCAGACCTGGTAAAAAAGATGGCAAATGCAGCACTGATCTCACTGCTTGGACTTTTCTGTTTGAATTTTCACAGAAACTACCCGTACCCTTACTCACAAACACGATACAATGTTTTGGAATGTATCCCTTGCAGTCCTGTTAGATTTTTTTTGTGCAGGCAAAACTGAGGACAGCTCCAGGTTAGTTCCCCTCCCTCCCCCCCCCCCCCCCTTGAGGGGAGGGGGATTAGTGCGACACAGCGCGCTGGACAGAGAAGCCATTTCCGTTTCCTTTTGGTGCCAGCCGGAAGAATTTCCCGGCATCTGGGCTTCTTGCCTGTGTTGTAAAGTCAGAAAGTGGAGATTTCTCTTTTATTTTGTTCCATTAATTTATTCACTCGGTTTTTTTCTGTTTCTGTAACTTAATAAAGCAATATCAGCTCGGAATCCTCTTCCGCCTTGCTGGGACTCTGGGTCCAGAGGATGACACCGCGTGCTGGGCTCGCCACGCTTAAGCCTCGCGGTCCCTAGGGAGCTCGCACAGAGCGCCCTCGCGCGGAGGCCTGGGGCTCAGGGGCGTACCGTTGGAGGGAAAAGTCCCTCCCTTGTTCCTTGGGAGAAGTTTCTAGGGATGATAAGGTGGTGTTAGTCTCCACCCGCGTAAATTTAGCTTCTGGAAGCCAGCTGTCTGAAGAGCGTCCGCACCTTTTTTTTTTTTAGCTGAACCTAGGAAATCCTCATTTTGCATCTGTATTTAAAAATTTAAATGTCACGTAATCTCTGTACTCAGGAGGCAGAATCAGGAATTTATGAGCTCAAGACCAACCTGTGTTATGTAGAGACCCTGTCTCAAAAAAGTGAGGTAGGGGTGGGGTTAAGAACATAGTTTTGGCAGAAAGTGTTTTCCCTGGCATGTATGATGCTCTAGGTTCACCACTAAAAAGAAAACGATCTTTTAAAATTCTCTCTCATTGTTTTTCTTTTGAGACAGGCAGGCTCTTATATATCCCAGCTGGTCATGAACTTACTTCGAATCACAGGATGACCTCGAACTTCTGCCTCTCCTTCTCAATGCTGTGATTACAGGCTTTGACTATGTGCCTGATTCATTGGGTGCTGGGGATCGAACTGAGAACCTCATCCATGCTGGGTAAGCACTCTATCAACTGAGCTACACCCCCACCCCCATCTTGCATTTCTTTCTTTTCTTTTTGTTTTTTTTTTCGAGACAGGGTTTCTCTGTGTAGCTTTGGAGCCTGTCCTGGAACTCGCTATGTAGATCAGGCTAGCCTCGAACTCAGAGATCCACCTGTCTCTGCCTCCCGAATGCTGATTAAAGGCATGCGTCACCACTGTTACAGATTTGCTGCGGGTCCCCGGCAGCTTGCTGCGGGGTCGAGACCACGCGGCAGGTCCACAAACCAAGGTGGGAAAGCAGCCAGTCCCAAAGACCAGGCGGCAGGGAAGGTGGCTGGTCCCCTGTGGCGACAAACAGATAGGCGGCAGGTGGGAGACAGAGATAGGTACATCATGTAAAGTTGGACATTTATTAGGTGGGTTATGGAGGGGAAGGAAAAAGGGGAGAAGGGGGAGAGAGAGACAGAAAAGAGGGGAAGCAGATAAGTGGGGAGAGACCCAGAAGCTGCCTCTTCGAGAGAGGGTCAGGAAAGAGAGAGAACTCAGGCTGCAAGCAGGAAGAAAGACCTGCCTACCTCAGCGAATGGGGGAGGGAGTGGGCGTGGCTTGTCTCTTAAAGAGACAGAACAACCATTACAACCACCGCCCAGCTCCCATTTGCCATCTTGCATTCTGAACAAGTTTCTGTTTATAAATTCACCTCTCATCCTCCGTTATCTTTTTGTTTTAAGTCAGTGACTATTTGTAACCTCAAATAACTTTTTTTTTCTTTTTGGTTTTGGTTTTTCGAGGCGTTTCTCTGTGTCGCTTTGGAGCCGTCCTGAAACTCGCTCTGTAGACCAAGCTGACCTCGAACTCACAGAGATCCTGCCCAGCCTCCCGAGTTCTGGGATTAAAGGCATGCGCCACCACCTCCCGGCCCAAATAAATTTTTTAAGATTTATTTATCTTGTTTATAGATCTGCCTGCACATTTGCCTAAATGCCAGAAGAGGGCACCAGATCTCATTATAGCCAATGGGGCTGGAGATATGGGTGAGCAGTTAAGAGCACTGACTGCTCTTCCAGAGGTCTTGAGTTCAATTTCTAGCAACCATATGGTGGCTCACAACCATCTGTAATGAGATCTGTTGCCCTCTTCTGGCCTGCAGGCACACATGCAGGCAGAACTCTGTATACATAATAAATAAATAAATCTTTAAGAGAAAAAAGGAGGAGGGAAGGAAACACCACAGGGCAACCAGGCATGGTGCTGCATGTCTTTAATTCTAGCACTTGGACCGTGCAGTTCAAAGCCTTTCTTGGTTAAGTAGAATCCGAGGGCAGCCTGGACTACATGTAACCACATGGGTGGGAAACCTGGGTCCTCTTCAAGAGCAGTAAGTGTTCTTAATCACTGAATTATCCATCACTCCGGCCCCACGGTTTTAATTTGCTTTTTTTCCTGGTTTTTTGAGACAGGGTTTCTCTAGCTTTGGAGCCTGTCCTGGAACTAGCTTTTGTAGGCCAGGCTGGCCTTGAACTCACAGAACTCACCCTGCCTCTGCCTCCCCGAGTGCTAGGATTAAAGGCGTGCGCCACCACCGCCCTGCCATCATCACACTTCTGTAGCAAGTACTTTTTACCACTGGGCCATCTTCCCACCTTGGATTCTAGCTTTTAATGTTTGTATATATACTTATGAGTGTAGGTATAGGTCATGAAACTAAAAAAGAAATAACAAGAGAGAGAAAAGAGCTATTGAGGAAGGGAAGAGGAAAATAGGACCCATGTGGCATGCAAGTGAAAAAGAAGCCAGAGAGATGGAAGGGTACAAGGGACAAGGGCAGTTGATGGGGAAGAAGACTAGGAAGGAGGATCAATAAGAACAAAATATGCTTGAAAATACCATAATGGGCCTGTAAGATGGTTCAGTGGGTGAAGGAGCTTGCTGCTAAGCCTAACCACCCGAGTTCAATCCTCAGATCCCACACAGTAGAAGGAAAGAACTGACTACCCCCAAGTTGTCCTTTGACCCCCACACAGGCACAGTGGTACAGGTACACACAGATACATGCATGTAGACACACACTAAATGCATACATGCATACATACATACACTAGAGCTGGAGAGATGAATTAGTAGTTAAGAGTACTTGCTGTTCTTCAAGAGGACCTGAGTTCAGTTCCCAGCACTCAAGTTGGGTGGTTCATAGCCACCAGGAACTCTACCTCCAGAAGATTGAATACCCTCTTCTGGCCTCCACTGGTACAGCAACAGACCCTCACACAGACACACCCATACGCATAACTGTAAACAAATCTCTAAAAATCAATGAATAAAGTGTAATAAAATATTTTAAAAAGAAAATGGCATAATTAGCCAAGCATGGAGGCACACACCTTTAATCCCAGTACTCAGGAGGCTGAGGCAGGTGGATGTGGATGAGTGGAGGCCAGCCTGGTCTACACAGCAAGCCCCAGGTCAGCCAGTGCTACGCAGTGAGCGCTTGGCTCCACAAACAAAAGAAAATGCCATACTGAAACCTACAACTTGTACACCAATTAAAGATTTTAAAATATTAAGAAATATTGAGGGGCTGGCGAGATGGCTCAGCAGTTGAAAGCACGGGCTGCTCTTCCAAGGGACACGGGTTCAATTCATGACAGCTCAAAGCTGTCTGTAGATCCTGTTCCAGGGAATGTGACACCCTCACACAGACATATATGCAGGTAAAACACCAACATACATAAAATACAAATAAATTCTTAGAAATCGTTTTTAAAAAGAAATATTGAATTTTCCAGGTGGTGCATGCACTTGGGAGGTAGACGTAGACGGATCAGCGAGGTCTACAGAGTGATTTCCAGTACAGTTGGGGCTATACAGTGAAAACCCTTTCTCAAAACAAGATATTGAATTCAAAATAGATAATGTAGGAGCTAAAAGCATAAGTTGAGAGACGGCTTATCAGTTAAGAGCACTTATTACGTTAAAAAGTTTTTAGATTTATTTATTTTATGTATATAAGTGATTTGCCTGAATGTATTTGGCTATGTAGCATTTGTGTGTGTGGTTCCCACAGAGATCAGAAGAGGGCATTGGATCACTGGAACTGTTGAGAATAGAACCTGAGTTCTGGGCTGGAGAGATGGCTCAGTGTTTAGGAGCACTGGCTGCTCTTTCAGAGGACCTGGGTTCAATTCCTGGTACCCACATAGTAGCTCACAATTATGGCAGCTCACAACTGTCTGTAGCTTCAATATCTGACACTCTTATACAGACATACATGCAGCAAAACACCAATGTGCATGAAATAAAAATAATTTTTAAAAATCACCATGGTAGAGTATATATGCTTAACAGGAGGCTCTATGTTCAATAGCCACCACCCAATCAATCAATCAATCAATAACCAATCTGATATTTAAAATGGGGAAAAAGTCTAAATAAACTTGTTACCAAAGAAGAGAGATAACTTGGTGGTTAAGAGCCCCAACTGCTTTTCCAAAGGACCTAAGTTCAATTCCCAGTACTCACATAGCAACTCACAGCTGTCTGTAACTCCACTTTAAGGGGATATGACACTCTCTTCTGGTCTCTGTGGGCATCACACACACATACTTTGCTGACAGACATTCAGGGAAAACACTCATACACATAAAATAAAAATAAAATCTTTAAAACTGGCAAAGTGTTCTTATATATGAATGCAAAAAGTGTGACTATAATCCCCAAATTTGGAAAGTGGAGTCAGGAGAATCAGCTCAAGGCCAGACTTCGAACCTTAGACAGAGGGTTCGAAGCCAGCCTGCCTCAACTCCTACCCTACCCGTACTGAGATATGAATGACTGATCAGTCCACGGG